GTTTGGCATCAGCCTTAGCCTTGGGGGTGGGTCGACTTGGAGCTTTGAAGACATTCTTCTCAAATGTAGCGAACACACCGACACAGCTCTACAGCACAGTGCCACAATGTGCTTTTATGTTCAATCACATATAAAACAGTGGAAGTCGGGCTGATATTTCACATGAATACATTCATGAGGGTAATGAAACAGGATTAATGATTAGGCATAGGTGGAATTTAACAGTGGATTCTTCGTGCGCCGTAAATTAGAAGGAGATCGAGAAAAGTAAATACAGCTAAATTCAAAGGGCACGGACTTCCAGTTTAAAGCGAGGTCTTCTTTAACAACCGACCATCCCACGCTTATAATTCAGAAAATGATGCCATAAACCTACATTTACTTCCTCCCAGCTATGCAGATGAGCTCGGGCATTAATAGCAGAGAATTAGGAAGGAGTTTTACAACCATGACCTTGTGGGAAATGTAAAAGCTGTAGCTTCTCAAACAGCCACAGGGCAGCAAGATTGGATTTAGTTTATAGAGCCAAGCGACCCTCCCTCTAGTCTTTAACATCTCATTGAATGACAATATTCACATGGGTTTGATAATTAACTGCAGACACTCCTGGAGAAATGCCAGCCCAACTCTGACGGTCAGCTCAGCATGTTTGGAACCAGGTATTGCCAGACACAAGGGGAAGTATATCTGGAGCACATGCATCAATATTCTTTGATGCACATGTGTCTAGTCTCACAGGGTTTTCTAAAGCATTACAGTTTTATTTGGTTAAATTCAGATCAGAATTTGGCTACTAAAATCGCAGGAATTAAAAAATAAATTCTCAACTTTTCAGAGCCTGCACTAAAGGAATAGTTGTAGAGTGGAAATGTCAATAGTTTGATATTTCATAAAATGTCAGCCCCTGCTTCTTTTTTTTTTCTCCCCTCAGAAGTTAGAGAAGATCAATATTTCTCCAAGTCCTGGCGTCATTATGAGATTGTCAGGCAAACAGTGAAGACTCCGGACTGTCACTGAAAACAGCCAAGAAAGAGTCCAACCCAGGAAAATTGGACGCAATGGTTTTTCATACAGCTTAAACATATGCACACTGCGTGCCCTTGAGCCTCTACAATGATAGGAAGCCATCAGCCTTTGGACGGAGCAGTTTTGCTGGACTGCCTGCAGCTGTTATGAAAAATGATGTTATATTTCCAAAAATGTCAAACTAGTTCACATTTTAATAGAGTTTATAGTACAAAGTATAAATATAGAGCAGACTAGGACCTATCCTCCTGAAATCCCATGAAATATTTTCCACAAAGAAAATGACTACTAACTATAACTGCCATAAATATAGTCATATTTCACACAGTTTGGAGTTTTCAAAGTTTGAGAATAAAATCCGTATCTCACCGAGCAGGATGATGATACATAGAAGTATAGCAATCAGCGCTCCTGTGCTTAGACCCACAGGAAGAAAGATGGCCTCTGCACTGCAAGTTA